TGCCAGTGATTTTACAATCAGGAACGCATAAGGACTGTCTCTACATTGAGCACAAGCTCTTAAACTCTACCAGTCGCAGTATTTTTTCACTGGGCAGTTATGGTCATGAGTGGAGAACATGTCTATCCAAAACTCACGATTGAAGCCAGTTAATTTATAGTATTTAGGGTTAGGAAGTGGTGAAGTTCTTGTATGACCAATGAACTCATTTTCAACTCCCTTACTTAAGTTTGAATATAATATAGCTTGCTTTCTATCCCAAATGCCAGGTGTTACAATCTTTGAAAATTCATTTTTCCTCGGAAGCATTGCATCATAATTGAAAACATTCTTGAAGTCTTCATTGGGTTCAGAGATTTGAAATCTTATACGTAATGGATTTTCTTTCTCTTTAGCTACTTCATTGAATGGTGAGAATACAAAATGACAGTCATGAGTTCCATCTTCATTTTCATTAAATTCATAATGAAAGTCTATAAGTTGTGGCTGACTACCTTCTTCTTTCAGTTGTGCAAGAAACTCACGTAAAGGCTGTAAAGTTTGTACTTCAATGTTGAACTTTTTCTCGAACATCTCATTAAATGAAATCATACATTGCAACAATGTTGTATCGTCTTTAAAGTATTTGTATATGTGAATGTTTTGGGCGCTTAAAGACTGTTCGTCATTTTCTATCTCGACTTGAAGTATAAAGTCAACTTTCTGAAAGCACGTGTTATATACATAGATGTTATGCCAATGTACTTCTCTTCATTTATGTTCACAATCCAGTCTGTTGGAAACTTAAACGTTACTCTGTTCCCCTTTATTTTGACGTCAGGGTTTTCACTACTGAACGCAACAGATAAAGGTATTTGTCTATACATTTAATTCGATAAAAATAAACCATTTACTCTTTCTTCACTTCAGCTTCTTTAGCTTTTGCTTCAGCTTCTTCTCTAGCTTTCTTCGCCAGAGCAAACGTGGGTTCTTTTGTTCTCAGCAGCTAATGCAGCAAGTTGTTTTTCACTAAGTTTCTCTTTGGTCTCTCTGGCTTTTGTTCTTGTTTTTGTTCCTTCAGTTCGGATAAAATTTGCTCACGAATTTCTTTCTTCAATGCTTCAACATCTATGACCCCTTGGGTCTTGTCCGTAGGGCTTGTCTGAGTCATTTGACTGCAGATAAAAAACAAAATTAAAACTTTAACCGATGTAAAATGAGCTTGTCAAAATCAGAGCGAGAGTCTATTATATTAAATGACGCAAGAGGAATACAACATCCTTTCTATTACGTAAGTCAGAGTAAAGATGGTAAAATATACGTAAGAAAAAGAAAGGTTCCATTAGCGAATGCAGAGAGCGACAACATTAAGGTGTCTGGCAAGGGTGAAGTCCACGAAGTAATAAAACCTTCTATTCAAACTGAAAAGTCAATAGAACAGAAGAAAAGAAGCCAGATGTTCTTTCAATAACGAACCAAGAGCTTATTGCAAAGTTCGTGAATTTCATTGAAAAACAAACCGAGTCAAAGAACCCTGACCCACCAGTGAAAGAAGTTGAGACAAAAGAGAATGTACAGTTCATTGAAAATGTCAAGAAACAACTTCCACCACGAATGCCAAGAAGAAGAGTGAGAATAATGAAGTAAATAGATATTTTTATCCGAAGTAAAACATGCAGAACGAACAGTTAAACGAATTTACTCCAGCAGAGCATATTCATCAGATTCGCTCATATTTCGATATCATAGACAATGCAGTTCAAATTGGTGACACTAATAGAAAATATTCTGACGCAAAGATTCCATCACAACCTGGAACTGCTAAAGATAACACATGGGTAACATTCAATCTCTCACCTCCTGGTGAAAATATGTTGGACCTTTACAATACATTCATTACGTATAAAATGGAAGGTCAATTTATTGTAGATAAAGAAATTGGTTCAGGTTCCAATAAAACAAACCCACCAGGATTTTGGATTGGTTTCGATGACGCTTTCTATGCAGTTGCTGGATATCAAATCCTTGCAAATGGTCGTATCGTATATTCTCAAGACAACGCAAGAGAAGAAGCATATATAACTTCAAACTCACAAACTACCGAACAAATAAAGAAAGTAGATGTTTTCTCAAAGACTCGACATGAAGATGTATGGAGTCATTCGGGAACATGCAGAACAGGACAAATTGTTAGTGGCCAATTACAGCAGGAAAATCATTTGATTTTAAGCTTCGTTTAAGAATTCCTGTTAGAAAGTTTTTACCATTAGAAGCTATAAGATTTATTCCTGCATTTGCTGGTAAACATTCAGCTTAAAGTAAAGTTCAGTAGCGACGCATTACAATGCACATCTATATCTGTAAATGATATCATTGCTTTCAATCCAACTCTTAAAGTTGCATTTGCTTCAGATTCAAATCCACCGACAAATAAATTTGTTCCATGGAATGAACCATTCACTATGATAACGAAGGCAGTAGAAGCTAGTGGAACAGTTACTATTACAACTGTAACCCAGCAACTATTTCGAACAAAGATGGATTTTAATGAATGTTTCATTCATCCAAAGTCATTCTCTTTAGACCCTAACATTTATACAGAACTTGTAGAACATTATACAAACGAGGCTTTATGTTTTCCTGTTAAAGTTATGGATTGGATTCCTATGGACGGTTCATTCTCAAAGATACAGATAGTTCAAGTGCAACATTTACAGCAGCTTATACGCCTATTAATGTTAAAAGTATTTGGGCACTATTTAGAAAGAAAGACAACTATTATGTTAATTTTGAGAACCCTAAGTTTAATATCTTCAGCTTTCCATGGGAGCTTATGGAAATATGCCTGCAGAACCTGAAAAATCATATGGACCTGTATTTTATGAAATGGTTGCGAACGCTGCAATACAAACAATGATATGATAGGATTTAATGAAGATGTTATGAGGTCATTGGTGGATGATGGTAGTGTGGAACATAAATGGGATAGCTATGACAACACACATTTCTTATGTGGTTTTCCAACTGAAGTGGACTTTTGCTTCCAGCAAGGTCAAACATCTACTGCTCCAATAACATACAAATTGTCTGTTAAAGGACCTATTGAACTAGCAACTGAAAACGTACCAAAGCCACTTATTGGATTTATGAGGGATTGTTGCTTTGCCATTCAGGTGCGTGCTAATGGAATCCCATAATAAGATTAGATGACTATAACTTAGCTACGGACGACAGTGAGGAATAAAGGATGAACGTTTATTTTTAAAGCTTATAAATGAGTTCTTCATCAAGCTCTCGTGAACCTTCACCATCTATGAAACAAACTTTACCAAACGATTATGGAGCACCTATTGAATATTTCTTACGAGCTGCACAATGGCAAAGAGCAGTCTCACCAAGGTTAGGTGTTCCACCAGCTCCTGTCAAAAATAGCATTTGGTCAAGTCCTTATATAAAATATGGTCTCCCACTAGGTTTGCTAGTTACAGCAGGAGCAGTAATGATGTTGAAAAGAAATAAAGCAAATGTTGTAAATAATACTGAAGTAGCTGAAGTTAAACAAACTCCAACACCTTCGCCAAAACCAACGCCTTCACAAGCAAAACCTTAGTTAGTATACATAAGTCGTGTACTGTGGCACTGCGTTCCTCCGTACGCATTACTTGTGAATTTGACACTTTACAAAACCGGTAACGTATATTTTACAACACAAACACAAACACCAACTTAACCTTAAATATTTATAAAGCCGCCAACCACTTCACCTCACTACTGTAAAAAATAAACGTTCTCACTTACAAAAGTATTGCAACTCTTCCCATTGCTGTGCTTCACACAATAGTTCATATTCTTCAGTATCGCTGCTGTCGCTCCAATCGTCAGAGTCAAAGTCACTGTCAAAATAAATGTTAGTAAGTTTTGACAAAGCTAATGAAACACGCTTACCGTTTGTATCATATGCTTGTATAAACTTTCCATTCTTCATTCCTTCATAAACGCTCAAACTAACTTTACCCTTTCTCCCTCGTATCTGATAGAATGTATTTTCACGAGGAACGAAGAACAAATTCTTGAACTCATGACCGTTGTAGTTTGTTATCTCAATAGTTTTCGTCATTTATATAAAAATAAAATAAAAAATAAACTTAAAAATTAATGATATCACCACCCTCACACGTATGAAAACATAGCACAAAAATAAATTTAGGTGAAGTGGTGAGATCTCACCTCTTTTTTCACCTGTTTTTTCACCCTGTTGAATTCATTGCTTTATAACTCTCTGTCGTCTGCTTTCTCCAACTCTTCTAACTTCTTCTTAAGTTCAGCAATGTTGTCCTCATGAAGTTTAATCTTTCTCAAAATTCCTTCTTTATCTAATGGTTGCTTTATCTTTCTAAACTGAACTCTACCATCCTTCATAGTATGAATGTAAAAACCTTCTGGAATAATTCCTGATTTAATGTATTCTACCAAAAACTTTTGTTTCATTGCTTCAGTGACTTTAGTCGTCATTTCAATCAAATAAAAATTTTAATATTAAATAAAAATAACGTTATTTTTTCAGTAAGGAAACGCAGGAGTTTTACGATTTATTTGTGGTGTAGGTTCTGGTTTAAATGTTGGAGTCGGTTTTGGAGTTGACTTTTGAACAGGAGTTTGTAATTCCATAGGTTCAGGAGTCATTGAAGGTGTTGTTTGTGAAGGCGTTGGTTTTGGCGATGGTGTCGGAGTTTGTTTAACTTCAGCTACTTCAGTATTATTTACAACATTTGCTTTATTTCTTTTCAACATCATTACTGCTCCTGCTGTAGCTAGCAAACCTAGTGGGAGACCATATTTATATAAGGACTTGACCAAATGCTATTTTTGACAGGAGCTGGTGGAACACCTAACCTTGGTGAGACTGCTCTTTGCCATTGTGCAGCTCGTAAGAAATATTCAATAGGTGCTCCATAATCGTTTGGTAAAGTTTGTTTCATAGATGGTGAAGGTTCACGAGAGCTTGATGAAGAACTCATTTATAAGCTTTAAAAATAAACGTTCATCCTTTATTCCTCACTGTCGTCCGTAGCTAAGTTATAGTCATCTAATCTTATTATGGGATGCCATTAGCACGCACCTGAATGGCAAAGCAACAATCCCTCATAAATCCAATAAGTGGCTTTGGTACGTTTTCAGTTGCTAGTTCAATAGGTCCTTTAACAGACAATTTGTATGTTATTGGAGCAGTAGATGTTTGACCTTGCTGGAAGCAAAAGTCCACTTCTGTTGGAAAACCACATAAGAAATGTGTGTTGTCATAGCTATCCCATTTATGTTCCACACTACCATCATCCACCAATGACCTCATAACATCTTCATTAAATCCTATCATATCATTGTTTGTATTGCAAGCGTTCGCAACCATTTCATAAAATACAGGTCCATATGATTTTTCAGGTTCTGCAGGCATATTTCCATAAGCTCCCATGGAAAGCTGAAGATATTTAAACTTAGGGTTCTCAAAATTAACATAATAGTTGTCTTTCTTTCTAAATAGTGCCCAAATACTTTTAACATTAATAGGCGTATAAGCTGCTGTAAATGTTGCACTTGAACTATCTGTATTCTTTGAGAATGAACCGTCCATAGGAATCCAATCCATAACTTTAACAGGAAAACATAAAGCCTCGTTTGTATAATGTTCTACAAGTTCTGTATAAATGTTAGGGTCTAAAGAGAATGACTTTGGATGAATGAAACATTCATTAAAATCCATCTTTGTTCGAAATAGTTGCTGGGTTACAGTTGTAATAGTAACTGTTCCACTAGCTTCTACTGCCTTCGTTATCATAGTGAATGGTTCATTCCATGGAACAAATTTATTTGTCGGTGGATTTGAATCTGAAGCAAATGCAACTTTAAGAGTTGGATTGAAAGCAATGATATCATTTACAGATATAGATGTGCATTGTAAGGCGTCGCTACTGAACTTTACTTTAAGCTGAATGTTTCCTGCAAAAGCTGGAATAAATCGAATAGCTTCTAATGGAAGGAATCTTCTAACAGGAATTCTTAAACGAAGCTTAAAATCAAATGATTTTCCTGCTGTAATTGGACCACTAACAATTTGTCCTGTTCTGCATGTTCCCGAATGACTCCATACATCTTCATGTCGAGTCTTTGAGAAAACATCTACTTTCTTTATTTGTTCGGTAGTTTGTGAGTTTGAAGTTATATATGCTTCTTCTCTTGCGTTGTCTTGAGAATATACGATACGACCATTTGCAAGGATTTGATATCCAGCAACTGCATAGAAAGCGTCATCGAAACCAATCCAAAATCCTGGTGGGTTTGTTTTATTGGAACCTGAACCAATTTCTTTATCTACAATAAATTGACCTTCCATTTTATACGTAATGAATGTATTGTAAAGGTCCAACATATTTTCACCAGGAGGTGAGAGATTGAATGTTACCCATGTGTTATCTTTAGCAGTTCCAGGTTGTGATGGAATCTTTGCGTCAGAATATTTTCTATTAGTGTCACCAATTTGAACTGCATTGTCTATGATATCGAAATATGAGCGAATCTGATGAATATGCTCTGCTGGAGTAAATTCGTTTAACTGTTCGTTCTGCATGTATTTACTTCGATAAAAATATCTATTTACTTCATTATTCTCACTCTTCTTCTTGGCATTCGTGGTGGAAGTTGTTTCTTGACATTTTCAATGAACTGTACATTCTCTTTTGTCTCAACTTCTTTCACTGGCGGGTCAGGGTTCTTTGACTCGGTTTGTTTTTCAATGAAATTCACGAACTTTGCAATAAGCTCTTGGTTCGTTATTGAAAGTACATCTGGCTTCTTTTCTTCTGGTTCTATTGACTTTTCAGTTTGAATAGAGAGGCTTAACATGGGCTTCACCCTTGCCATGCACCTTAATGTTGTCGCTTTCTGCATTCGCTAATGGAACCTTTCTTTTTCTTACGTATATTTTACCATCTTTACTCTGACTTACGTAATAGAAAGGATGTTGTATTCCTCTTGCGTCATTTAATATAATAGACTCTCGCTCTGATTTTGACAAGCTCATTTTACATCGGTTAAAGTTTTAATTTTGTTTTTTATCTGCAGTCAAATGACTCAGACAAGCCCTACGGACAAGACCCAAGGGGTCATAGATGTTGAAGCATTGAAGAAAGAAATTCGTGAGCAAATTTTATCCGAACTGAAGGAACAAAAACAAGAACAAAAGCCAGAGAGACCAAAGAGAAAACTTAGTGAAAAACAACTTGCTGCATTAGCTGCTGGAAGACAAAAGAACCCACGTTTGCTGGCGAAGAAAGCTAGAGAAGAAGCTGAAGCAAAAGCTAAAGAAGCTGAAGCAAAGAAAGAGTAAATGGTTTATTTTTATCCGAATTAAATGTATAGACAAATACCTTTATCTGTTGCGTTCAGTAGTGAAAACCCTGACGTCAAAATAAAGGGGAACAGAGTAACGTTTAAGTTTCCAACAGACTGGATTGTGAACATAAATGAAGAGAAGTACATTGGCATAACATCTATGTATATAACACGTGCTTTCAGAAAGGTTGACTTTATACTTCAAGTCGAGATAGAAAATGACGAACAGTCTTTAAGCGCCCAAAACATTCACATATACAAATACTTTAAAGACGATACAACATTGTTGCAATGTATGATTTCATTTAATGAATGTTCGAGAAAAAGTTTAACATTGAAGTACAAACTTTACAGCCTTTACGTGAGTTTCTTGCACAACTGAAAGAAGAAGGTAGTCAGCCACAACTTATAGACTTTCATTATGAATTTAATGAAAATGAAGATGGAACTCATGACTGTCAGTTTGTTGTATTCTCACCATTCAATGAAGTAGCTAAAGAGAAAGAAAATCCATTACGTATAAGATTTCAAATCTCTGAACCAAGTGATGATTTCAAGAATGTTTTCAATTATGATGCAATGCTTCCGAGGAAAAATGAATTTTCAAAGATTGTAACACCTGGCATTTGGGATAGAAAGCAAGCTATATTATATTCAAACTTAAGTAAGGGAGTTGAAAATGAGTTCATTGGTCATACAAGAACTTCACCACTTCCTAACCCTAAATACTATAAATTAACTGGCTTCAATCGTGAGTTTTGGATAGACATGTTCTCCACTCATGACCATAACTGCCCAGTGTTCTTACCTCCAGACCATAAGGACTGTCTCTACATTGAAGCACAACTCTTAAACTCTACCATCGCAGTATTGTAAATGACCACATGAGCTTATTTTTATCACGAATGACCTCATTGCTGACAAAAATAAATGACCTCAGAACTTCAACTTACGAATAAAGCTTGTTTTAGTCGTTATTGAGAAGTTAAACTTCTCTCAAAGCAAGGTTGACAGACTTACATAAGTCAAATCCAATCTCTTGACCGTCATAAAGTGCTTTGTAAAGTTTCATTAAACTGAACTCAGAGTCTTTGTCATATGTTCCAACAGGTATGTGAATGTTCTTTCTCTTCATTGTAATAGCATTGTATAGCTTCAGGAAACATTTCATTAGCGGTTAAAGCAATAACATCTTGCTTCACGCCTTTCATTCTGCAGTGAAATGCAACTTCATTTAAATCATTCGTGAGTAAGTCTATGTAAGTCTTCTTTCCACAAAATATTGACTTGTATGCTAAACTTTGTTTTCCAGGTGTTATTTCTGCGAAGTCAGAATGAAATGACCAAGGTTTTTCCTAAAGTTCTCTACCGTATCTCTTCTTAAACTCTGCTGCAAGCTTTGGTATGTCTTCATTGAAAATATGCATGCTATCACAGTCCTGGTAAAATATTTGAAGTCCCATATCTTCTGCAGTACAGAATACTTCACACATTATTCTCTTCGACATAGACAGAATGTTAACACCAAGTGGACAGAAGTTAAAGTGTCTGCAAATGCTTTTCGTTAGCTTGAAAATAGTTTTATCTGAACCATCCAAACCTTCGAACTTCACTATATGGTTGTAGTTTCTGATGGCATATCTTATAGCATCTTTGTCATTTACTATGGTTATTTTTGACTCAATAGGAGATAGAATAGTTTTACCATAAATACTGTTCAGAATGAGCTTTATATTTTCTTGCAAAGGATTTCCTTCTTTCTTATACTTTAACCTTAACTCAAACAACTTCTTTACTTCATCTCTTATTCTAATATCTCTGTTTCCATCGTAATAGTATCCTTGCAACACTTCACATTTGACACCTTGATATTTTATGAGGTCTTGTAATGTTATATGGTCAACATACATTAAACAGCAAGTGTTTGAACTTCTGGGAACGTTAAGTTCTGGATTTAGTTCAGGGTCACAAACTATTAAAGGAAAGTGTCTATGTATTCCAATCTCTGTTATCTTAATGAGAACAAAGAAACCAGACATAAACTTTTCACCAATGGGTTCCTTTTGGTCGTCATCGAATAAATGTCTCATGAGATACTCTGTGCTTAACATTTCTTTCTTCATAACCTTTGGAATACCTTCTAAAGTATAAAGTCTTGCTATAGCTGATGGATATAATGAAACAGCGTCGAAATCAGCAATGAGTTTCTTTTCGCTCTTTTGTTTAATGTTATCTGACAACATACATCTTCCACCTTGAATACAGCGTGAAATAAATTCTCTTGGTTTATTTGAGAGGTCATAAAGATTTCCATTCGGGAAGTACACTCTGTTCTCAAATAATTTGTTAGCAATAGAACAAATACTAACGTAGTCATATACGTTTAAATCAAACTCTTTCAATATGTC